TGGTAGAATTTGACTTTTGAGACATGTCGATACACAAAGAGTAACCGATCAACAGCAGTTACTCCTTGCAATGAAACTTCGGGTTGGGCATGTATAGTCTGTGGCAATATGCTCGAGTATTGGCCGTTGGCCAAGTGTGCGTTGATATGTCCCAGTATCCAGTAGTATGACGCGCGATGCATGGTTACATGGTTAGGCCAAATATTTCTTGCCTCCCACTGTAGCTTCCTGCTTCATTGGGTAATTAATCGCTCAGCAACACACAATTCGTGGCGTGTTTTCCCATTTACTTGGCTTTCCCATTCTTAGAAGCGGCCTTGAACTTGGCGATTTCTTGCTGTACTTTCTTGTCGACACGAGCCTGGAGCTCAGGGCGGTATCCTAGCTTGAAGAGGACCTCAAGCCAGACGAACAATGGGGCTAAGAAGATGGCCTGGAGTAGGTTATCCAGCAAGGCAGGAGCGCGGCCTTCGAACGCTCCGTGTCCGACGAATTGGAAAATCCAGGCAACAAGATGGCAGCCGAGTGCAATCTGGAAAGTGGTAGCTGGGTTCTCTACTTTGAGGAAATTGGAGTAAGCGGTGCCGGCCAAGCAGAATGCAGCCAACACAAAGCCAGCCACTGGCTCGAGCAGTAAGTAGAGTGCCGAATACATGAGAGCCGCAATGGTGCCCAGATTGAGGTCAAGATACGGCACGGAGAGCCAGCTAGGGGTCTGGATGAGGGTGCCCGAGTATGTGGCCTAGAAAAGAATTAGGACCAGTGCCGAATGGTTGATGTCGGATTTCGGAGGCGGTGATTCCATGAGCATACCATGCAAAAGGCCGAGATCAGAATAATCGGAACGCATATTATGTGAATAAGCTTGTTGATTGAATTATGGTGGTAAGCGCCATACTGTGTACATGAAAACCAGAAAGAAAAATTAGTATTGAATCGCACCAAGTCCAGTATGGGATTGAGGCTGAGATTTGACGTGAGATTGCTGGGTATGAGGGAGGGGTTGGACGTCGATAGACATCCGAGGTTCCATAGGTGGTGATGCTCACAAAGGTAAGGTGGTGCTCCAGATCCAGCGACATGGTGGGCACGCGACACACAAGCAAAAAAACCAAAAATAAAAGAGAGCGAGCCGCGGGACGATGGCGGAACGAGGAGCCGAGACACAAACGCGGGTAAATCAAGGAGATGAAGTCGAGCTGGAAAGGTTGGCGGAAGCGCCTCCTCAAAAGCCCGCCTACACGAGAAAAATAGAAGTGGATGGCAGAAGAAGACGAGAAGAAAAGGAGCGAACTCGATCGTTGAAGTGATGAGATGGTAGGTTTGGCTCATTCAGGTCAGTCAGTTCATGTGCCAGCTCTGCCTGTCGGGGTTCGGTTGGCTCTTCCGTTCCGTGGCCACTCTGAGCCACGACAAAAGCGCAGCGCCCAAGTCGACCGGACTCCATCCAACTTCGTCTACGGAGTACTCCGTAACTAAGTACTCCGTGCTGTAATGAGTTTGAAGCGCTGTGCTCAGAGGGGGTGTCACACTAGCAAACGGAGGGACACAGAGAGTGTCTGCCGGTTCTCGGCGTGCTGCAACCATCAGTCCATCAGCTGCCAAAGTCTGTGAGGGACGGCGGGGCGTGGGTCTAAACCCAACGAATCCATAGCTGCTTCGTACTTAAGTACTGGGCAAGGCGAGCTGTGCGAGCGTAGGAGCTTGCAAGGCTGGACATGAACCACCAGGCCACCCCAAGCCCCTCTGAGAGGTTGACAGAGTCTAGCCTGTCGGCCCTGTTCGTGTTCCCGTCGTGGTCATCCAGTGGTTCTGTCATGACAGCCCACACAGAGCAGCGTGCCACGTCTCCAACTAGTGGCAGATGCTGCCTCGGCCACCAGCTGTCAAGCAGCATCGCAGTACATACATGGTCTCTTGTCTAGGTAAGCCATGTCCTTGAAGACCAGCATGCATGACCTAGGCCGTGTGCCTGGGCAAACTCTGCGGAGAACAGGCAATGTCTCATGAATCCCGCCGGGAAGTGCAGGGCTGAGCTATTGCGACCCGGATGGGTGGCAAAGAGACTTTGACCTGCCAAAGTACACGTGTATCGCGCCGGTAATGGATATCGGGGTATATCAGCACATACCATACTTCGCTGTGGACAATGATATCTTCTTGCCAGAGCCCGTGTTATTATGTACTGTAGAGTACAATAAGCACAATCGGCCTAGGGATTCGGGCCTTCGGTCATACTCCGAGCAACAGTTCTGTACCCAGGGGCGACAATGTGCATATACTATAGCTGTTGAAGACAGGTAATATTACTCGGTACACCAAGCTTATGTGGCGCAAGGAGGGTCCATTCTGGCACTCAACCGAATAAGCGTCTCCTGAGCAAATCCTCCATGGCGATAAGAGTACGAAAGGTGAAATAGTAGCTGAGGTCCCGCTGCCTGACACTTTCTGCATCAGTCAATGCACGGCCTTGCGATGAGAGTTTCCATGTTGTCAGGCAGGAATGGTTCTGCTGCAGGGTTTCTCTCCCGCCAATTGCATCACAGTCGACAGCCGGTCTTGGAAGAAAACCCTTGTCTTCGAAAGTTCGGATCAAGTCCCGGCTCACCAAACTCAGGCCCCAGGTACCAGGTACTAGATCTTGTTGGCGGTGACTGGAGTTTGTTCCCTAGTGTTGCGCCTTAGTTCGTGGCCCACCAGCCTCTTGGCCTCTGATGACCCTGAGGTACTCCGTAGAAAGGCTCTGTATGATGATTAGGAAGCATGGATAATTCAAAGAGCTGAGACATGTAGCTTCCTTGGTGATGATTCGTAGAAGACCAAAAGGTACCGTTTTTGCATCACAGTAAGAAAATATACATTCGAGCCTGCTCGTCGTTGCTCTGGTTGTAAGTACTCCGTACATTTAAGCACCTCCGGGAAAAACCAGGCAACTGCGACCAGGCTGTGCACGGACCACCCGCCTCTCATCTGGGTGACAAGATTTCAACCACCAATGTTGGCGTCGCATTTGCTCCCTCTGCCTTGTGTCGTTAACCTCTCAGATCCTCAACCACATCGCCAACTCCCACTCGGGGGCTAGCCGTGCACTTCTCGGGGCGTGGAGAGTCTCTTCCAAACACATTCCTCCAAATTCCGACTCGTCTACATCCTTCGTCGCTCCGTCCTCAGCGGCGCATCCTCGCGATACATCCCCAACTGGAACTGCGGGCCGAACCTTTATCCCTCCGATTTGAGTCCTGCGAAGCCTCCATCTCGCCAATACGCCTATCCAACTAAATATACACCGAATTATTGACTGCTACTGCTGTTTCCCGCAGTAGGGCGAGAGTCCACAATGTTCTTCCTGTACAACATGGAGCGCAGGGTGACCCTGCACCCCTCGTACTTTGGACGCAACATGCACGAACTTGTCACCAGCAAGCTGCTGAAAGACGTAGAGGGTACTTGCGCTGGAAGCTACTATATCATCTCTATCATGGACACGTTCGATATCTCTGAGGGGCGCATTCTTCCAGGCAACGGTCTTGCAGAATTCACAGTCGGTTACCGCGCTGTCGTCTGGCGGCCATTCAAGGGCGAGACGGTATGACAACAAGACCATCGCATTGAGATAAGGGACAGTTCTAACTTGCGCAGGTTGATGCGGTTGTATATTCTATCAATCCTCAGGGTTTCTTCGCGCAGGCCGGCCCACTGCGACTTTTCGTTTCCGCACATGTATGGCAGACAACGCTTGCGAAGGCTCTTTAAAAGAATGATTGTAGCTAACCACAAGAGAAGTTGATACCAAGCGATATAAAATGGGATCCAAACGCTACGCCACCGCAGTTTACCAATAACGAGGACACAGTTATCGAACCCGGGACGCACGTGCGCGTCAAAATTATCGGAACGAGAACAGAAGTCGGGGAGATGTGGGCCATTGGAAGTATCAAGGAGGATTACCTAGGGTACGCTAATGACTCTGTACTACAAAATCAATTTCGCCTGAATACGCCGCTAATACGCTGTTGCAGATGTCTTCAGGACTGATGAACTACGAATCTATGAGCCGTCGATTTATAACGCGACCGCATTCGAGGTGAAGAAGGTAGATGGGAAAAAAACCTCTCTCAAGTATTCTTGAGAGAATATAATAAGACCAGGGGCTCCTGTGTGGTACAGGTCTGAGAAGCTGTTCCTCTGGGCATACGACGCGACTCCCTAACAGGGCCCAACAGAATATATCACGACTAGAATTTGAGATGGCGCGAGCGCCAGGAGGGATTGATTGGGCAAAGCAAAATGTTTTGTTAAAGATGAAGTACAAAATGAAGAGAAACAAAAGACCCCAAACGAATAGAAAAGGTCAAAGTCAGTAGCCTCTCTTCCCACATGCGCTGAGCTTGACGTAGTTTGTAGCTACAAGTTGGTTTGGTTTTGATGTATAGCAGCACGTCAGGGCCTACTTCATCGATTGTCAGCGTCCTTGTCGGCACAAAAAGGTGAGATATTCAAAGCAAAACGGCGTGTTTAATTGATATCAATTGGCATCTGTCTCGGGGTAAACAAATCCCGAACCAGACATCAACTCGTCCTGCAACCCCCCACCGATGACTCTTCCCCAGCGCATCGTCACCCCCACTCCACTCGATCCCCACCAAGCCATGTTAACTCCCGAATGCGAAAGCAGTAACCACTTCAAAGTACGGAGTACGTAGTCCAATTGCATCCTGCGCAGGATCAAGCAGCCTTGGAGACTAATGCCAGGACGGGCGTTTTATGCGCCCCAAGCCGACAAGTGCGCCGATGCCGCTGAAGTAGAACCACACGTCCCCGCAACCACACTGTGATACAAAACCGTCTCTTGAGGCCTTGACCATACCTTGCACCCTTTTCATTCTTGACACGCACGCCTTATTGAAGGTGTTCACTGGCTCACTGCTTAGGCATTATATACTTTTATTTCAAAGAAAGCTGCGTTATAAGTTGTGACAACGTTACAGAGGACATACACCATGCAGGCGTGCAATCGGCTCAAGACGGCGTTTGCTCAGGGCAAGCAGTCCATGGGGATGTGGCAGATGATTCCGGGGGCCAATGTATCGAGGCTGCTGGCGAGGTCGGGCGTAGATTGGGTCATGGTTGATTGTGAGCATGGGAACATTGACGGTAGGCAAATACGCTTTGGAATGTCTGCTTGATGCGGCTTTGCTGACGGTAGCCAGATGGGGCCATGCATGATGCGGTGCCGGCGATTGCGGCGTTGGGCGTGACGCCTCTTGTCAGGCTGCCGGATGTGCAGTCGTGGATGGTCAAACGTGAGTGATTTCCTTTTTCATCTCCCCGGAGGAGATACGTGATGGCGTGCTGACCGACTCTGGATAGGGGCATTGGATGCTGGTGCTCATGGTGTAAGTTGGGCATGGTTGACATATCTTAAACACCAGGGGACCAGAGCTCGGCATGTTGACCATTTTAGATTCTCGTACCACTGCTTCGTTCGGCAGACCAAGCAAGAGAGTTGGTTCAAGCTGCCAAGTTCCCGCCCTGGGGCAAGCGAGGATTCGGATCCCCCATCGCGCCCGAGCGGTTCAATCCCGTGCCTTCGTTTACGGAGTACCTGCAGCAGGCAAACGACGCTCTCTTGACAATGGTCCAGATTGAGACGCGAGAGGCTTTGAGCGAGGTGGAAGAAATCGCTGCCGTGAAGGGCGTTGACGTGCTCTTCATCGGACCCTTTGACCTTGGTATGGCTAAACACCAGCCCTCCCTTTCCCATACTTCAGTTCCCAATATAGGCGGTGGGAGGCAAGAAGCATTTAGCCAGACCAAATACTTGGCCCTCGTGCACTATGCGATAACACGCTGCAGTACAATCCGTATCAGCGCATACTTGTGAACAGGCAAAATATATCTATAAGGCGCTAGACTAACCAACATGATACAGGCAATAATATTGGCCACCCCATCCTAGACGGTGTCATGGCCCCCGAGCTGAAAGAAGCCATTGCTCGAATCCTCGCAGCATGCCGGAAAGCCGGCAAGAAGTGCGGCATGTACGCCACGAGCGGCGAGCAGGCCAAGCTCTATGCCGACCAGGGCTTCGACATGATCAGTGTATCGGCCGACTACACTGCACTGGATTATATACTGAAACAGCAATTCAACGCCTCACAGGGCGGTCCTATCGCTGAGAAGAAGGGCTCATATTAGGGATTTCCGGCAAGAGAAGGGTGCCGCTTGTGTGGAACCATGGTAATAATAGCAGGCTGAGCTAATTCTTCTCGACTTGGTCCATTTTCGCTTCTACCTGTTCAACGGTGAAGCGGTGCATCAACTTGACTGCTTTGCCGGCTGCATTGACCTGTTCTTCGGCAGCATTGACCTTGCTGATGTGTATCTTGTCGCGGAGTCAGTAATTATCGGGTCTTTGAGGAGGTGCCAAACATGACCACTTGTCTCACCACTGGGATATCAAAATCGTAAAATTCCATCCAAGATCGAGACTCGGGTAAAGCCAGATTCACCTCCTTGTATGCGAACGGCCGCTTATCCCACACGTCGGATAACACGCCTTTTGCTTGTGTGCAAAGGCCGCAGTTGTCGCGGGTGAAAAGGGTGATTCTGCAGGTCTGCAAAAGGCGATTGGTGACAAACATTGCTGTTTATGAATTGTACTTTGGTATTCCTCAATAATATAAGCTAGTGACAGTACGAAATAGTTCACCTCGGATCATCTGGACATACATATGTAAGTAGAGGTTGACGAAGACGACGGCATCCACTGTTGTCACCTACATCACTTTTTACGCACCCGTCCCCACTCCCTTGTAAGACTAGGGGCCCGAGCTGCGCCGACCCCGCATCCAATTAAGAAGGCGGTGACGGTGCTGGAGCTGAGCTTGAGGTGCGCCGCCGATTCAGTAATTCTAGAACATCCCACCCCACCAGAGCCAAGGTCAACAGAATTCCTCGAAGCCAACTCTTTCGTTCATTTATTAGTCGACAAGCCGAGGAACTTGGCCTACCGGACAGAGGTTTCTTTATGAGGAGAATTCTGTAGAGAAACAAAACCAAACATGGCCACGACGCAGAAATGTGTCCACCAAGGCTGTGGCAAGGTCTACACCGATGCTACAGAGAAATGTGAATATCACCCCGGTCCACCAATCTTCCACGAAGGTCAAAAAGGTGTGATGCTCGCCTGTTCATGGAGCAATCTCTGATCCATATGCCCATGACACCGTCAAGCTGACAGCCGTATTAGGATGGAAATGCTGCAAGCCCCGTGTCCTCACGTTTGACGAGTTCATGTGCATCCCGCCATGCACGACCGGCACCCATTCCACCACCGACATGCCTCCCCCCGTCGAAGAAAAGCCCAAAGAGGATGATGCCTCGCTAGCCAAAAAGATCGACGCCCTCACAACTCGCACGCCGCCGCGCTTGCCAATCCAGCCGGCTCAATCGATACCCACGCCTCCTCCTCCTGCCCCGGAAACAGATGACGACGATGCGAGCTTGGAGATACCCGATGGAAGCACGTGTCGCCGACGAACTTGCGGGCAGAGATACAAGAAGGGTAGTTTACGAGAGGGCGAGGCATGCGTTCACCATCCCGGTGTGCCCATCTTCCACGAGGGCAGCAAGGGGTATTCGTGCTGCAAGAGGCGAGTCTTGGAGTTTGACCAGTTCATGAAGATTGAAGGGTGCAAGACCAAGGACAGACACCTATTCATTGGCAGTGGGAAGAAGGAGGAGGAGGAGAAGACGGGCTCGGCCGGGGAAGAGGTTCTGAGCACAGTCAGGTACGTCTACCATGGCAGTCGTCTGCCCATTTTCCAACGTGTGTGCTGACACGCCTGAATCATAGGCACGACTTTTACCAAACTGCTACAACCGTCATTGCCGCGTTTTTCCTCAAGAAAATCAACAAGGAAAGCGCAAAGGTTGAGTTTCTGGAGAAGCAACTTGTTCTTGACTTGGTGACGAGCGACTCCCCGCCAAAGCGATACTCTGCCGACGTGCCCCTCTATGAACAGATCGATACGGCCAAGTCGTCGTACAAGATCATGGGGACGAAGCTGGAGGTGACGCTCGTCAAGGCAGATGGGGCGTCGTGGCCGGTCCTCAGGGGAGATGAGGCGTTGACGGGTGAAATTTACCAAGTTGGACGTGCGGGGATGGCGCAGTAGATTTGAAGCATACGGTTTTTAGATCTGGAGTTTTGGCGGTTGGACGGGTTGTAAAGGTGTACATATTCGTAGGCAAGGGGGAGCGGTGTCGGTGTACTACAAAGCGTATCGTGTCTGTGCAAAACAATATTACTGCTATTAGTACTTAAATAGTTACTTACTACGTGAAGTTGCGAGCAGGGGACCCAGGCATCCATGCGATTTCTCCCTCCACGGTGACCCAATTCTCGCGCCACGTGAAAGAAGACCGTTGTCTGCCTCAATCAGGGCCACATGGCGATAACGGGGACCTCGTCACCACCAAGGGCAGCATGGAAAAGATAAGCCTCGCGGCAGGCCAGAGCGATGCCAATTTCAGCTACGTAAACGGGGCGGCGCAGAGCGCATCGGCACACTCTCACTGGTCCAGCGGCGCTCCTGACTCCCCAGGGCCATGCATGTGGCAGTCCCCGGCCCTTGCCGATAAACATCGACAGGCTTCCTGTTCAATGCTGCCACTCGGCGACCGTCTGATGATGATGGCGCTCGACAGATAACTACCCGGCCACTGTTGGCGCAGGTTCAATGATGGAACTTGGCACAGCCTGGCCAGCCTTTTAAGCTTGTGTGCTTCAGGCCACGGAGCCAAACAAGGCTGCAGACCAGTTGACCCACCCATGACAAGACTAACTATCACGTATTTGCACCTGTTGACGCTTCCATCTTATCGCAACCGCTAAAATACCCAGGTAGCAGCCATTGGGGGGCAGGATAAGGAGATATATAAAGGCTCAAGCTTCTAAAACTCCGACCCTTTTTTTTTTTTTTGGCCCCCCTTCCCGGGCGTTAAAAGCATCTGGTCTCTACCAGACAGGATATTTCACCTCTTTCCACAATTTCGGCCTCTACAGCGCGCCGTTCCTTCACCGGCACGAGATCCGTTTCCGAGAGCCAACTTGGCCATAGGACTCATAGTCATGGCTGTCGAAGTGTCCCACGGCCGAGGAGGAGCCGGCAACATCAACCCCGACAAGACGGAGTATGTCGACGGGGAAGTCGTCCGCGCCGGAGTCGAGGGGAGCCATGGCGACGGCGCGTACAGCGCAGGCAGAGGAGGTGAGATTGAGACGATGATGCTGCCTCCATTTTTTTTTTTTCCTTTTCTTTCACGATGCTAACGCGAGGGGTTGGTTGTTTTGCAAACAGGCGCTGGTAATATCGGCGACGTCGGCTCCGCCCCGGCGGCTCGCAAGGACAAGGACGTGGTGCCCGAGTCGGCGTATCGCGCGAGCCAGGATAACCAGGACTACCACACGGGGCGCGGGGGCGCGGGGAACGAGCATGTTGCGAATGGGCACGGCAAGAAGGCGGCGGAGGACAGGACGGGGGAGAGCGCTGCGGCGCCCGTTGGCTTGGCGGACAAGTTGAAGCAGAAGCTGTTTGGTGTGATCAAGAGGTAGAATTCGGGCATGTTTTTTTTTTTACTTTAATTTGCGCAGTATGAATTCACAGTGATATCCAAGTAGCACGCGTCTGTTTCTGAACTTTTGCAAATTTGTTTGCTGTATCCAAACTTTTCAGCGATGGGTCACGCAGTTGAGCATCATCGGGTGCTTGGGGAGAGAAGCGCCACTTCATATCAAGCCTTCGAATTGATACTCATCACCGCATGTTGCATGGCCCGAGAAGGACCAATCTACTATAAAGGATTTGCCATTATTCGACACACATCTACCATCTCAGGTCCCCTTCGAGTTGAAAGGCGAGCCAGATGTTTCAAGGGAATGCAGTAAATCCGTAGCAGAGGCTTTCTGTATAAAACATCGACAAGGTTCCTCATTATATACCTGTGCCCCAAAGCCTTGTCGCAAGCAATAATCTGACTTGACAACGAATCAAAGGAGCAATCCAATGGCTGAGCCAGCTTAATGATGGCCCTGCGTAGCAAATCTGGAGCAACTCAGGAATTAACCGACGTTACATCCCACGGCCAGGTTATGTTTTACCCTGCATTTTCAAGTATAGGTTAACGTGTTCTGACCAGAGCTGATGAGGTGATATGCCTCGGGTGGATACGACCAAGGGATCAACAAGCCATCTTCGCTCTTGTAAACTTAGAGCGTTGCGATCGTCCCACCATCTTGTCGAACCGAACCCAGCCTAACAAGGGTTTCTCAAATCCTCAAGTTTCGGCGGAGCAGACGTGGATATGAGAAACAACGCCACCAGACTTCAGCCAATCCTTCCCTGGCAACCCGGCAAAAGGAGGGTTATTCATCTTTTGCACCAACAACCCCGAAAAACGTGAAATTGAGATGCACAAGTTCTGCCGAGTGGCATCCAAGAAGGAGTGTAAGCTCGTGCCCAGTTTCTTCTGCAACACAGACAACGGAAATGCTATTCACGAATCCCATGATCCCCGCCCCAGCAAAGGGTCATGCGGGAATGCGGGAATGCAACCCCATTACTGCGTGAGTGAAGGAGGGTACGCTAGGAGAAGGGACCAACACCGAACGAATAGGCATCTGCGTGCAGCGCGTCAGAGTGCCTAGGGAAAGTTGATTTAGCCGGCTGAGTTTGCTCATTATGCATCAACCGTCGAACCATGAGACACGCCGTATTCCTATTTGAGAGGTGAATGTGCGAATCCTCGAAAAGCGTCGCCAAGGAAAGATTGATGTTGGTGGGACCGCTTACTCTCCGGCGTCGACAAATTGACGTAGAATATCATATATACGTATATATATGTATGTGTGCATCTGTGGCTGTTTGTTACTTGGGCTTCTGCGTCTGTGGCAATCGGCAATCATCTGCCATCGTCGAGATGTAAGGAATGCACTTACAATTCTCGAGAGACGCGTGATGAGAGAGAAAGAGAGTTCGTGAGCGCAGCAGCCGATAAAGGGTCCAGTCTACCACGCCTCCGCAGTGCGTTGTGGGGATTGTGCCCAAGTCATATCGTCGTTACACTCAGTCCATCTCCAGCTCCCTTGATTGTGAGGTGCCTCACCACCTAGCACTTCGGCAGCAGCTATTTGA